TATATACTACTACTTTTTAATCACACTTTTTAAATGAGTGTGATTAGATCACACTTTAACAAATGAAAATATCTCACTTTTATTAGAAATGTGATAAAAAAAAATTAGATTGATATTTTAATCACACTTGATTTGATTAAGTGTGATACTATTTATTTTTTATGTCACTTTTCAATTAAGTGTGATTGTATTTATATTTTTTAATCACACCTTCTAATTAACATGTGATTAAAGATCACATAAAAAGAATTAAAAATATCTCACTTTTATTAGAAATGTGATTAAAAAAATTAAAATAATTTTTTAATCACACTTAATTTAATGAGTGAGATAATATTTTTTTTTAATCATACATTTGAAATAAGTGTGATTATATATATTTATTTTCATCATAGTTTCATGTGTGGTTATATATAATTTTTCAATTTAATTTTTATATTAAATAATTATTCTCATATTGTATATAAGCTCATGAAATTGCTTTGGTGGAGAGAGAAAGAGCTGGGCAATTTCTTTCTAGGGTTTCTTGCGGCTCTCCATCTCGCCTCTACCGCCGATGGCCACTGATCAACGCGCCTCTCCATCTCCCCTCTTGCTCCTCCTCCTTTCCTTGCTGATCAGTGTCGCCGCTGCTCTTGCTAGTCGCCGCCATTGGCCTTTCCGGCGCTGCTTCTCCTCTCACCGTTGTTCTTTCTCTCTCTCTAGTTTATGTTTTCTCTTTCACTGTAAGTTCTTCAATTCCTTCCTCAACCCCATGAACTTTTGATATGCTAGTTGACCTTAACCACGTGCACTGCACTCTTTGTAACCAATGAACCATTCAGTTTTCACAAATACTCTACTCTCTCTCTTTCCATTCTTCCCCAAGTATTTATTCCCTTCAATTTTCTTCATATTTATTTGCTTTAGATTGCTTGAGATTTGTTTAAATTGCCAAATTTTTTTTTAAAAAAAATTGCTTCATTGTTTCTGTTAATTGCTTTAGATTTGTTGATTTATAGCATAATTTATGTTGAAATTTCTGTTCAAAATTGGTGAAACAATTTCTGTTTTTTAAAAAATAATTATTTTAAACAATCTGTTTCTGTAAACAAATTGTTGAAGGAGATTGAAAGAAGACCAATCTTACACTGCTTAGCTTGTAATTCTGTATTTATTGGTGAAACTCTGTATGGCAGATGAGCATAATATGGTATCACCCAACACATTTCTACCATTCTTTAAACAAAATAAAATAAAAAAATAATGATATTAGGCATTTATAATAAGATCACAAACTGTGAGGGAAATGGATAAGTTTGCACATGTTAACTTCTTATGAGCAACCAATAACTTTGGTCATGCCTGGATTTTCTGTGGTAGCCCATCTATGTTGCTAATTCAACGTGCCTCTTAACATATTTTAATTTGATGTTAATTATATTATAAGCCAACCAAGAAATTGCATAATTAAACTGTAATTTTTATGATAATAATTTTGTGAAATTGCATATTATAAGCCAACCAACGCACAACACTTTGTTATGATTAGCTTGCTTTCTTTTCATTGTCAGGTGAAAATAATGATTCCCTGCATAGTTCTTGCTGGCCCTATTGGTCTTGGTTTTGGATATATGAGGCAAGTACTATATGCTGTAATTGCATTTTGATTTGTTAATAATTTTGGCGATTATGCAATTCTTGTGCAAAGATCTAATAACCAAGTTTAATCCTTACTCTCAGTGCAGAAGGAAATAACATCCTTCCCTTTGTTAGCCTTGTTTTCTCTAGCATGCTCATTATTACTGGTGTGAGTTATCCTCCAACATTTTTGGCTACTCACTATTTTACCTTCCAAATTCTTATTTTAAATCTGAAAAATGATCTTAGTAGATAGAGAATCGTGTTGTGTTAACACTAAAAAATGTGAATGTAACTACTATTTAATCATTATTACAGTGCTTTACATATGCTTTTGCAAGGCAATTAAATGCTTTCCAGATTTAGGTGGAATTCTTATATCTTGTGGAGCTTCACTTGGTGTTTTTCTACAGTGGGTTATCCAGGTTCTTTTCATTATCTTCTTTCTGTTATAGTGTTACATTATTCTTGTTCTGTATTGTGAATGGACATGTCATGTGTGCTTTCAGGTCATAGTGCTTTGGAGAAGAGACTATTGTATGATTCCATTATCATGGATGAGCATTTTAAAGGACAAAGATGTGCATGTGGTTACTTTCTAACACCTTCTAGATATTAGGCATTTATATTATTGTGAAGTTGATAGCATGCTTATTAAATCCAGTGGTGATTACTAAACATACTCTGGATTCTGATTATTGTCTCCAACATCATCTTCTTTTCTTTTGCTCAGTTCTTCTCCCTGCTATTGCCCGCAACAATCAATCTAGCCTTTGTACACATTGCCTCTTTTACTGATCTTTGTTTTTCATCTCTTATTCTTGGTGCTACTGCTGGTCTCTCATGTAAGTAATTGTTGCTAGCTACTTTTACTGGTGCAAGTGTCATTTTGGACTTTAGTTTGTAAGTTAGCTTTAGACATACTTCTATTGTGTCCGCTACTTTTGATTTTGGTGTAATGTTGTAATTTTTTTTTTCAATGTAACATTTTCTGAATTAAACAGAAAAAGAGCAAGATATAATACACAATTCATATACAATTTGACAACTATTCCTTAGTAATTCTCATATAACTTGATGCAAAGCTGAAAGGATATGTAGTGCATATGAATTATTTTTTTGGAAGAATGGTAACACAAACGGGTGTATAGAATAGAAGTATGGAGCACATCATCATTCTGTTCTAATGAACTTTATACATTGAAACTTATATTACATTGTGCATTATTATCTGAGTGTATGGTTCAGATTTTGCACCAATATTATGTATACTAATTGGAACCTCGATTGTCCAATGTGCTGAGATGGAACTTGTTCTTCATTGTTGCTGTGTGTTCTTTCTGAATCAAATATTTAGTATGGTATGATGTCACAGTAGATATATGAAAAATCTAGAAATTTCCTAGATGTTGATTTGTGATTATGTATCAATTATAAGTAGTATATAACAATCCCAATCAAACAATCAAGACAAATCGACACAACGATTACGTGGAAAAACCACAATTGGAGCACCTCCAATTGTGATAAAAAACCATGAGCAACAGCCATAAAACAATCCACTAAAAAGATATAAAGGAATTACAGAGGTATACTCTCAATTACATAGCGAATCCACGCCCGAATTGAACCAACCCCTGTGTGCCTCTTCCAACCCCGTCTTCACCTCGGAATTGTCTTGACGATGAGCCATTCCAGAATCCACCAAAGCTTCAAGCTCGAATTCTTCAGAATCCATCGAAGAACAACTCTCTATTTTGTGTAGAACAAACAAATAATCCTTTGATGTATACTCTTTAAACCATGAGTTGAATACTCAATCAAAACATCAAAAAAAACCACCAAAATATCCCCAGATATAAACCTTAATATCCAAAAAGAAGATCTGAAGAAGTAATCCTAGTTTTGGACTGAAACAAATACTTATAGAAATCTGGGACTGCGAAGATCGCTTGAGCGAAGACTCTCTCGCTCGAGCGAGAGAACCAAAAACGCGTGTTTTCCATAAGCGGCTTCGCTCGAGCCACGCACCCTTTGCTCGAGCGTACATTTATCTCTTTTTGGTTTTTACACAGACGCAGCCTTCGCTCGAGCGAGAACTCCTTCGCTCGAGCGAGCAATGGCGGACATGCAATTTTGAATACATAAGTGGCTTCGCTCGATCCCCGTCATAATCAGCGAAGTGGCAATCTTGAAAGCATTAGCATCACAAACTTCTCTGCAAAGCACAATTCGGGTTGGATTCGCATCTAAACACTCATAGCCTCACTGAAATAAAAAGTGCGAAAATAAGTACAACTGAAAGGAGTTTTGTCGAACGGGATTGCCAAGAATAAAAACCTAACAATCTCTCCATTTGGCAATGCCGTGACAAAACACACCTAACAAATAAAATCCTAATCACCCCAACCCATTACAGCCAATAAAAACAAACTTCTTTCTCAAGGTTAAGATCTGCAAAACAACTATTAGTCCCACAAAAGTATATGAAAAAAACAATAAACATATGGCTAGATTATCTTGAAGCATTTGAAGCATGAGATGGAAAACATGAATAGATGCGACTTGGAGATTTGGATAACATGTAGCATGAAAACCTAAAAACTAAGACACATGCACCCGACAATATTACTCCCCCTTTTTGTCAAGAATTGACAAAGGAAGCTCAATCAACTACAGCAAGATCAGAAACCACACAAGCAATGATAAGATTATGTAAATATCAGGGGCATGCAAGAAGGAAATAATGAACAAACAATGAATAGTTACATGCAAAACAACTATAGCGAATCTCCCTTACCAAACAAATCAAAGTGTTCATGCTAACAAACTCTTGTAAAGACAAACCAAACTCCCCCACATTAAAAGCAATGAACAAGAAGAAAACGACAAAAAATAATATGGTAGAGCAAGCAAGGAATTTCAGATTTGTACCTTGAAACACACAAGATTATCCAAGAAGCACAATTACTTGAAAACACAATGTGCACAGCCTCTAGAAGATTCCTTATAAAAGAAAGTGATGCATTATGTGAAAAGTATAGATCCCATGATAAAAGTGTGTGTGTGACTCTTAGAGTTCGACAAACACAAGATTCAAATCCTAGTAGTGATTAGATAGCTGGACCACCGGCAAGAGAATCTAGACACAACAAAGGAAAGTCAAACCACTAGGAATCAAGGGGTATTTGGTGAGTAAAGGAGGAGGATCCCCCTCAATCAATGAATCCTTTATTTTTTTTTTCACAACTTTTTCTTTTCTTTCTTTTGCACATCTTTTTTTTTTTTGTTTCATCTTTTGCACATTTTTTCTTTCTTTTGTACACTCATTGGAGGCTGACACGCTCAAGAGTATGGAAACCGAACCAGAGAAGCATGGATATAATAAGGATGGCCTGGTTGGTGACTCTAAGATAGCCTTTTCCTCATGCCTGGACTACAAAAAATAGAGGGGAAAGCCGTGGAGATGCAAAAAGATGGAAGGTGGTTTAAGAGACGCAACATCACCCAAGATATGCTAGTATCGGTCAATTCCTCTAGAAAAACAAAAGATACCATGCCAGAAGTCCATAGAGAAAAAAGATCACTAAGGTGGAAGACTCCAATATTTACTAATCCAAGAGTGTGTACAGAATGAGACATACTAATCAAAGAACACACACTCTGAAATGAGTAATGACCATAGAAAGCACACATATATTAACATGTAATGGATATTCTCATCAATTCCAATATGCACCAAGGACCACTCAAAAATTTCAAGCTTGCAAAGCCATACTAAGAAAATCTTTTTGGGTTTTTTTTTTCATTTTTTTCATTTTCTAAACAAAGCAAGACAAAAAAAGAACAAGCACACATTTAATGACTCAAAAACAAAAAACAAAACAGAAACCCAAAAACTAAAACGAATAAATAAATTAACACAAGTCAAGTTTTCTTACCCAAACCGCTTTAGTATGAACAAAGTTGTGAAAATTGCGGTTCTTGGGTGGTGTCTTGACGTTGTGGTTCCCTTCCCCTTAAATGAGAACCCGTCTTGACATGGTTTCCAACTTCCTATTCCTAGAGCTAGGCAAATGCAAACTCGCTCCATGTTTGGTCTCAAGCACATCAAAATAACGAGGTCTAATATAACCCTTAACCTCATTACCACCAATGAAGTGTCTTCTACCCCACGAGATGTTGGAATTTCTTCCATCTCTATGAGACACTCTCAAATGCAACTTATAACAATAAGGGCAAATATGACTATGCATACCACAATGATGACAAATAAACACAGGGCGTACAGGGTGTACATTCTTTTCTTTGACCTTACCAACTCTAGGAAGATTGAGAAGTCCATCCTCATGTTGAATTTTTTGTTCTCCCTTTCCTTGAGTTCTGGTATCATGGGATGTAGATGCACACTGTTTTTGCCCTTTCTTACCATCAAAGCCAATGCCACTCTGGTCAGAACAAATTTGTTGAGAACCAATGATACTGGCCAAAGTCTTTGATCCTCTATTCCAAAGACCAATGGTAGCCATAGCACACTTGAGTTCTTCCTCTTTCTTGATCATTAGTTCTTCCAAAGCAACTTGAGACATCTCAAGAGTTTCAATCTTTTCGTCATATGTTGCATAGATTTGCTGTAGCTCATTCCTCTCTGTCTCACAAGTCAAGAGTTTTGCACAAAGAACTTGTCGATCATTAGCTATCTTGATGGCATCAATCCTAACCTCAGAAATCTCCTCCTTAAGTCCGACATTCTTACTTTCACATGCTTTGAGTTTCGTTGTGAGTTTGTCATTCAATTTGGATAAGTTAAGAGACTCCTTATACAACTTTTCATAAGCTCGCTCAGGCTCTTCATCATCACTCTCTGAGGATTCATCATCAATGGCATTCTCAACCGACCTCTTCGGATACTCTGTTCGTCCGTCAGTTTCGGAAGCCGCCATGAAAGCAAGGAATTGTTTATGTCCCTCTTCGCCTTGATCTTCGTTGCCACTTTCATCTTCATCAGATTCCTTTCCAACTCTATGAGCACTACTAAAAGCAATAGCATCGTTTTGTTTCTTTTTGAAATTCCTATATGCTTCATAAGTTTGGAGATTTCCAACCAAGTGATCCAGCTTGAAGTTGTCAACATCTTGAGCCTCCTCAATAGCCGTAACTTTTGGTTGGAACCGATCGGGCAAAGATCTCAAAATTTTTCCCACAACTTTGGATTCTGGTATTTTTTTCACCTAAATTGAAGCTGGAATTTACAATGTCACTCAACTTTGCATAAAATTCATCAAAGGTCTCACTATCTTTCATTGAAAGGTTTTCGAAACTAGATGTGAGCCTTTGAAGTTTTGAACGTTTAACAGAAGGAGTGCCCTCATGAATAGTTTGTAAGATATCCCAAGCCTCTTTTGCGACTTCACAATTGCAAATACAGCTAAACTCTTCAGGTGTGACAGCGCAAAAGAGAGAATTGATAGCTTTACTATTCCAGCTACTATTTTGGTAATCAATTGTGTCCCACTTATCAATTGGTTTGGGGAAAGTTACTCCATCAACTGTAATTGTCGGTTCAGTCCACCCATACATGACAGATTGCCAAACGTTTTCATCAATAGATTTTAAAAATGATCTCATCCGAGCTTTCCAAAACGAATAATTGGATTCGTCAAGTAGGGGTGGTCAAACCATAGAATTTCCCTCACGAATTGAATCTATTATCACAAATTAAACAAGATCTCGTTCTAAAAGATTTTTTTTTTTGAAATAGAACGACCTACTCTGATACTAATTGAAAAATCTTGAAATCCCCAAGATATTGATTTGTGATTATGTATCAATTTTAAGTAGTATATAACAGTCCTAATCAAACAATCAAGGCAAATCAACACAACGATTTTAACGTGGAAAAACCAAAATTGGAGCACCTCCAATTGTGATAAAAAAAAACAAGCAACAGCCATAAAACAATCCACTAAGAAGATATAAAGGAATTACAGAGGTATACTCTCAATTACC